TAAACAATGTTGATTACAGTTCCGGGTACTTTATCATCCCAGTCAAATGAGTTTAGCTCATACTAGCTCTGTTACTTTCAACAAAATATACAGCCATGAATTGAATACAGAGGAAGAGGAAAGATAAACCAAAATGAGGAGGTCAACAGTAAAGAGTAGGTGAAGCTTGGTGGATTCCTCCCGTGGCTTCACTCCCTGAGATTTCCAGCCAAAAATGTGTCTCCTACGTACTTGTTTGCCTCCCTCTATTCTCTGGTCTTCGTTTCTTTCTTTTTCTCTCTGCTGCTGTTTCTTTTCTCTACGGGGTCTCCCTTCTATTTTCCCTTCTTACTTCCTTAATTCCTTCATGCGGCGCCTCTCTCTCCTTTTGGGTTTCAGGCACATTCCTCTTTAGGGCAACCAAGGACGCTGAGTTGGCACCTTGGGACCAACTGACTAGGCACCAAATCTGTCTTATGCGATCTGTGTTTCCCGTGCAAAGTTATGCGCTGACGTCATCCAATAAATGCATGCTGTCACATTTTTTTGCTGTAGCAAATGCTGCAGCATTTATCATCACAAAACCTGCAAGCTTAGAAACGACATTCTCTTGGATATACGTTAGCAATTTCCTCAAAATCAACATAGAAACGACACACTAATGAGTCTCAGTAGAACACATCACAAGAACTGAAAGTTGAGCAAATAAAGCATAAGATTAACCACTAAACCTTTGGATGAGCCAACTATAAGCCTAGAAATGCCTAAAATAACTCTAAATCCTAGAGTTATCATATACTCTCGTGACTTGATCATAATCACATGTTCACCTAAATAAGAGGCTAAGGTAATAAAGACAAATTAAGTGCCGTACTGTCCTCCGGCCCATGAGGATGAGAGGTTTTCCTCTGGCTCATGTGAATGAGAGGTTTAACAAGGATAATTTATGACCTTGGGTGTAGTTGGCCAAAATGTTTGGGTCGCTCCCTTACTCCCTATTGGTCGCGCGCAAAGAGTACAAGCACATGGGCCTAAGGTAATAAAATACATTTCCATAATTGAGCATAAAAGGTCATGCATACTTATATGATGCTTATTTATGTAAATGTTTTGTGAGGATATTTGTACTTATTGGGTTTTAGCTCATTAAGTTGTTCATGCTGTAGGTAAATTGGGTAATTAACCGCACCTCAAATACTATTGATGAGTTGGCTAGCCGGAGTAAGGAGATGAAGGCAAGGGTATTGATACCACTATGTAAATAATTTCTGCACTAAGATAATAAGTCTATTTCAAGGTTTTAAGTCATTTATTCAAATTATAAGTCATTTATTCAAATTATAAATGTCCTATAAAAAATATATATGTTTTAACAAGTTTGAATTTCATTTATTAGTACCAGAATAAAATTTATTGAGCGAGTAATCTCAAGTTTTATACTTATGATTTTTTCTCCTAAAAAGATTATAAGTGTGATTTTAAATGATTATTTACTTGTAGCATATTAATGTACTAGTGTATATTATATATACATGAAATTCACTTTTAAAGTTATAGTCACTTAAATAAATAAATAGTATCTAAACATAGTTTGCTCAGTTATGCTGCAATACAAGGAAGTAAAGCATGTTTTAATTTAATGCTCTCCAGAAAATCATTTTCCTCAATTAGTTTTGATGTTCAAGTCTATTTAACCCAAATCATAAGTGGAAGCTTTTAAGGTTTATGATCAAAGAAGCTTTATAAAAAACAAAATCCTAAAATTTTGATAACCAAGAGCCTGATCATAGTCGACCAAGTATTTTAATATAAGAAAATATGTCTAAGTTAGCTAAGTAGCAGTCTGAAAAAAAAAACCTGAAAAAAATAAAATTAAGCTTTTTGTATTTTTTTTTTAAGTTAATAAGAGCTCATAATGTAATTCATACGTCATACTAGTTTTATATAAGAAACAAAAAATACTCAATCCTTATGCATGCAATACATTAGAAATAGATGAATGATCTATCATCTCTATCCCTATATATGCTTTTTTTTATTTGACATCCTATACATGCATACTCACATTTCTTTTAAAGTTTAACACGTGAATCCCATATTTCAAAGTGTTTCTCTTTCATTGATGGTTCCCTTTAATTGAGTACAAAATTTTACATTTACTTTTTTTTGTGTATAAATATATTTTTTCTTTTAATGCTTTTTGGACATTTTATGAGCATTTATATTATTTACTTTCTGAGGATATAGAGAGATTGGATAATAAAATTGCAGCATCAAGGTTAATGTTTTTAGTTACTGTATCTTAAGCCAACAACAATTAAGCAAAGATAACATATTTCTTCTTTTTTTTTTTTTTTTCCTTACTGGTAATGAAGGTATTTCAACAACAGAACATACAACAAACATATTAGATTTAACAAATTAAACTAATATCTTGAGCATATTTAGTGTAAAAGTGGCGGTCGGGTCGGGTTCAACCCGCCCTCCAAAAATGCTAAACTGCAACCACCCTTTGCTAGCATGTAGGTAAGCGCGCGGGGTTTGATGATGTGGCGTCAAGCATGGCGGGGGGGGGGGGGCATGTAGGTAAGCGCGCGGGGTTTGATGATGTGGCGTCAAGCATGGCGGGTGGGGTGGGTTGACATTTTTGTGTGCATAATTTGCCGAATTGGATTAAGTTGAGAAAATTTTGGATTGGTAACATATTTGGATTTTTTAATCGAAATGTTACATTGCATACTGAATATTTCTCAATAATTCGTCAATTCAAAATATATTTATTATATATTTTTCTATCTATTTTTTTAGTAGTACGTATAATATATTTTTAAAAAAATGTATGATATATGTTTTAATATACATGGAATGTTAATGAAATGATGAAGATTTTATTTTGAGTTTTATTGAAGTTTGTTTGTTACGATGGATTTGGATCCTACGTTTTAGTTTAATGTCAAAGACTTTAATTGACTATGTTGTAATGAATTGGACTTTATTAAACTATTTTAAATTTAAGTTATGTTACATATGTGCGTATCTCTAATTTTGTAGTTAATTTTATTAGAGCAGTGAAAAGAAAGGGCCAATAAGAGCCGAAGTGCAATTGTGAACTATTTAATAATAGTTCTAGGGGTAATTGTGTTAAAAATCTTAAATTTGAAGGTCCAAAATATGAGTTAATTTGTGAATCCGCATAATTCAATTCACAGAATTTGTTGTTTTCGGATTAGATTAAATTGGGAGGCTCATTAATTAGTTACAGATTGTGATTTTTCTAATATGAAATAATGAATTGGATTGTGGACTGAACCTTAATCCGTGTAATCAATCCGTAAACACCGCTAACGCCAAATATCATGGAACACTAATCTTTTGAGTCTGATTAACTTTGATGGCATGCCAATATTTGTGAAGGGAAAATTTAGAAAAGCAAAGACGAGAGAAGACATCACGAAGGAGAATTGAGAAGGGGTGAGGTGTAATTTGGATAGATTTTTTATTCTTTTTAGTTTTGTAACAAAACTTGATTATGGACAAATTCATTTTAGTTTTGTTCGTTATTGATGAATTTAGAAGTATGGGCTTTTTTATTAAATGAATTGGACTTTTAATGTATCTTTGCAAAAGGAGAAAGGAGACGAGTACTTCTTAAAGTGCATGAATCTGAATTTTTATCTCTTACTCTTAATTAATATCTTTTTAATTAAATAATTATATTAATCAAAAAGATATTAATCAAAAATAAGTGATAAAATCTAGACTCATGCACTCTATTGGAGTAAGTTCAACAATTCTCACTTTTGTGATAAAAATGGTAGGAAAGGATATTTACTTAAATACTTATTTCAAAAAAAAAAAAAACTAATATGTTAACTTTTCCATTAAAAATTTAACAAATATTAATTGGAGTACTAAATTTGAGATATTCAAAGAGTTTTATATTTAAATTAACATAATTTCAAGTACATGGACTAATTTAACTCAATTTTTTATATAGTAAAAAGTTTAGAATATTTCAAAAATAAAAAAAAAAAGTTAATATCATTAGTTACTACATCATTTTATAGTATAAACATAGACATCACTATAAAGAATTGCTATTATATTTTGTTAATGTGGACAAGACAATTAATTAGTGAATATATGTGATGATTCAAATTATAATTTGTAATTTTTTATAATATTTTTTCATATAAAAAATACACATAAATTAAAAATAATTTTAAATTTATGAACTAAACGTGTAATTAAAATTCGTCTGTTATCGATCCTCTCAGTGCTCTAAGACCCACGCCGAATATAGACCGAACCATCTCACAACATTCATTCTGAACTTAGCTTAGCTAATGTACTGCTTTAATGGAGGAACAACCAAACTCTTAGAACATATTACATCCACAAGTGGCGAAGGTACCTTCCCGTCAATGTGAGATCTTGGAAAGCTGAACCTGTTATCCCAAAAGTAACTTTTTGAACAACGGTCCTTCCACTCGACGCCTTCTATAAAAAATTTGCCATCTAGTCCAATTTTTACAAATAACACATGTTTGCTCAAAAATAGATATTCTTATTTTGTCCCTTTTTTTTTAATATTTTTTATTTCCCTTCTAGACTTGTTCTGATGCATTATCCAAGGCAAGCAAAATGCGGGAAAATCAGATTTTGCAAGAAAAGAAATGTGTAGAAGAATCAGGAAGATATTTTCAATTAGGTAGTCTGTTAACACTTCTTTTCAAGCATGTAGATTAAAATTCCTCAACTCCACGTAATCGTGAAATTACTCAGTACTTCATTTAGCATTCTATTAACATGATTCCGCCAACGCTTATTTGCAGCATACATACAAAACTGAAAAACGCGGTTCAGGTTGTGAGAAAACAGAACAAAATTCCCAAACCAGAGACATTGAAAAGTTACTAATTCAGATATAACTCTTGTCAACCCTGTTCTTGGATTACAGTTATTTCTAATAATTTAAATATATACAAAGCAAGAAAATGTGATAAAAAGAAGAAGTATTTTCATGGGGAATATGAGGATGAAGTGGAAGAGGAGGAAGAAGAAGATGAGGGTGGTGAGGAGTGGCATGAACATTTGGGGTCATGAATGACTCTTGTCATTGTTATATCAAATTTAGAACAGAAAACACAGTACCGGCCCTGCGATTCTCTATCTTCCGCTTCATCCTCTTCTTGGTCTTCTGCAAAATCTGAGGCCTCGTCTTCGGTATCCTCATCATCGTCCCAGTGATCACGAGGTTTGTAGGCATATCCCAGCACTGGAAGAATCACCATAAGAATTTTGTCAATGCTGTCTTCCAACCATTTCTTTCCATCGTCCCAGAACGTTAAGAGCGCAACAACTGCTCCTGATCCCACTCCAAATCCAATTCCACTGTATATTGATTGCCAATTAAACTCAACTTCTGATATAGCTTCTGTTCCTGTATCCGGAAACTTTCCCGAGTCACTGCTGCACTTTACAAGCAAGGGAAATCCACATAATCCTTTATTTCCTGTGAAGGATTCTGCTGAAAATGTTGAAAATTGATTACCCATTGGTATCATTCCAACCAGTTGATTAAATGAGAGGTTCAGGAATGAAAGGAAAGTGAGTTTTGTAAGGGATGCTGGAATTGATCTGCTAATGTTGTTACTTGAGAGGTCCAAGGACTCGAGTTGCTGCAAGTTTCCAACAGACGAAGGAATTTCACCTGTGAGAGCATTATGTGACAAGTTGAGGACATAGAGTGCTCGGAGTTGTCCTATTTCCTCTGGTATCGGCCCGTAGAAGTTGTTGGAAGAAAGGTCAATGGAGGTGAAGACAGTTAGGATCTTTTGCAGCTCTATCTCTAGACCTTTGATGGTGACCGTCACTGTATCTTGATAATAGATTTGTGAATCGAATTCTAGAAATTCAAACTTTAGGTGCTTGAGCTTTGATTGGTCACCATCTTCATCAATTGTCATTGCTTGCCATCTTTTGAAGCACTCTCCAGGTAGATTCCCATCAAATTCGTTGTGAGCAAGGTCAACAATTTGAAGATTTTCCCAGGTTCCAATGGGTTTTCGGCATCCAATTGAACCGTAAAATTTGTTGGATCGTAGAACCAGGACCCGCAAGCTTGATGTGTTAATCAAAATACATGGGAACTTGTCACTCAGGTTGTTGTTCCCAAGATTCAGTACCTCCAATTTTTTGCAATTCGCCAGAGATTTTGGAATCTGCCCATTTATGACATTTCCATTGAGATCAATGGTCTCTAAAGCACAATTTACTGGAAAAGAATCAGGAATTTGGCCACTGAAGTTGTTCCTTTGCAGATTCAGTACCCCAAGAGACTGACTCAGTCTAGACAAACATTCTGGTACTTTTCCACTCAACATGTTGCGAGACAAATCAAGTACAAGAAGGTAACTTGCATTACAAAAGGATTGAGGTATGACTCCTCTAAGAACATTGTTTGCGAGGGAATAGTAATAAAGGAAGGAAAGGTTACTATCTGGAGCATTTGGTATAGAAGAAGAAAACTTATTGTAAGAGAAATCTACATAGGCAATAACTGGTGGTAGAATGGGAAGATTCCCTCTGATTTGGTTAGAGTGTAGGTCAAGGACACTGAGATAACTAGGAAGAGTATATGGTTCTTGCAGGCTCCTCAGTTTATTACATGAAAGATTGAGATGGAGAAGAAACCCATTCCCAAGTTCCCAAATCCAGTTAGGTACTTCCCCATTAATTTGGTTGTTTGAAAGGTCCAATGTCGCTAGCTTTGATTGGTTCCTTAGGTAAGGAAATCTTTTCAATTTGCAAGAGGCAAGTTTTAATGTGCTCATCTTGGAAAACGAAGACCAAGTAGGATCATTTTCACTGGCAACAACAGACAAGTTGTTGTATGAAAGATCAAGAGTGGTAAGATTGCGACACCCCTGAAATTTATCTAGCAGTATGGTACCATTGATCTTGTTGGAAGAGAGTAAGAGAATGCTAAGCTTCTGGAGATCAAAGATAGACATTGGAATGGGCCCTTCCAGGTTGTTGATACTCAGATCGATGGTGTCCAATAGTGAAGAAGATGCATTGAAAAATTCAGGAATTTGACCGTCAAATTGATTATGGGAAAGCTGAACCACTTCCAATGATGGAAGTGAAAACAGAGATGACGGTATGCTCCCGTTGAGAAGATTATTACGCAAGTCAACAACAAGAAGTTTCATGAGGCCTTCCCAGTGAGCCGATGAAATTGCACCAGTTAAGCTATTATGAGAAAGGACTATTTTAGTCAGGTTGTTGAACATTTTAAAATATGGGACTGGACCGTTAAAGCTGTTATTTGATAAATCCAAATAAACGAGTTTGGTAAGTTGATCCATGGATCTTGGAAGCATTCCGTGAAATTGGCAATTTGAGAGGATCAATCTGGACAAGTTCCTCAGGTTACCGATAGATTCCGATAAGTTCCCCGAAAAATTCGTAGAACTGAGAATCAGTCCCTGAAAAGCACTATTTTTGGGGAATTCCAACAGAGAACCATGAAGTAAAGGGTTGTTTGATATGTCAATAATTTGCAGTGTAGGTACCTGGAAAATCTCTTTGGGAAAGGTTCCATACAACCCGCAAGAACTGAGACGCAAGGAATTCAAATTTGAGAATTTTGCAATGAATCCTGGGACCGTGGCGGACAAATTGTTAGCATCCAGGCGAATCACTTTCAAGGACTGAAGGTTCCCAAGTGACTCGTGAATAGGGCCAGAAATATAACAATTAGACAAGCTCAATACTCGCAGATCAGGCAACGAATACGACAATCCCTGGCACCATTCACTTCCACGTGCTGATATATTCACACCGTCAAGATATAGTTCTTCAAGCTTCGAGAGGTTACGAACTAGCATGCTCAAATTTGGATTCTCAAGTGTCAGTGAAGAAACTTGTAAGTATGGAAGGCTGGAGATTTCTAGAGTAACCAACCTAGTCAACTGTGATATCTCTTGTGAAATTTGACCTCCAAAACCAGCATTTGACAAATTCAGATAAGTCAGGTTTTCGAGATTACCAATCATTGCTGGGATCGTTGAGCTGAAGTTGTTGTAAGACAAATCCAGGTGCCTGAGATATTTCAGATTGAATAGACTAGAATTTCCGATCTCTCCAGAGATCCATTCGCTGCTCAAATTAAGACCGGTGACACGTCCGTCTTCGCAAGTTACACCGTCCCATGAACAACAATCCAAATTCTGATTCCATTGCGGCAACTTCTTCGATCGAGTGACGTTGAATGAGATGCTGTTCTTGAATTGGAGCAGCAGATCTTTCTGATGACTACGACATTGGCCAGACACGACACCTGTCTCCACGCGGAGCAATATCGAGCAGATGGGTACGAAAAGAAGCCACGAAAGCAGAGGAATTCTCATCGGAAGCCGAGCTAAACTAAAGCAGCGCCCATACAACAACGGAGAACCAATTGCAAACTGTGGTTTACGGCGGGTCAAGACTCAAGAGCAATTAGAGCATGGTCTTTGTTTTTCTGGTCTGTGGTCTCTGCAATTGTGGCCGGCCAGAGAGAGGTTACGTTTGATACGGTACGGTAGACTTCTGTAAAGTATAAAATGTGTAAATGGAAGAAGAAGAAGAAGAAGAAGAAGAAGAAAGCAGAGAAAGAAGGGGTAGGAGTTGAAAAAAGATGGTAATGTAGGGAGTTGGTCAGCAAGAGAAGCGCCGTCAAAGAAAAGCGCGTCTTTCTTTATTTTATTTGTTTGTTTGTTTGCATTATTTTTATTTTATGCTGAATTGTTTGCATTAACGTTTGTTTATCTGATGAGTTGGATTTTATGTGTCGGACGAGTTCCTTAGTCGGCCTTCTCACCGATGTAAGAAAACGCTTTGAGAAATGGTTAGCCGTTTAGTCTGTTAATTTAAGTTTTTAGTTTGAGTTGAGATGTAATTTTATATGATAATTTTTTATTATAATAAAAAATTTAAATGTGATTATTTTTTAAAATCTTTTACTGTAATAAAATTTGAATTAGTAAAATGGACCCATAAACATTTTGCCCAGCTGTGATATTCTGGTTCCCACTCATTTTAGGTGGTGTTAATAATAATTTTAACTCGAATTAATAAATTAAATGAGTTTATAATTTCTTTTTACTATAATAAAAAATGAATTAACGAATTAAACAAGCTCATATTTCTTCTCCCTCTCTCTCTTAATCACAATCCGATGGCTCTTCAGGCAAACAAAAAAAAAAAGGATAATTGTTGGAGAGGCTGAGGTTATACCCATACTGAGACCAAGGTATCAAGCAGCGGGAACAGTGAGCCATGTCGAAAGCCCTTTTCTTCTCTTTTTTCTCTCCAAATTTTCGGCCACGTTAGGGCTTGTCATTGGTGATGTATGTTGATAGTTCTTTGCTTTTCCGTGTTTGACGATTTCAAATGTGCTGTTTCTGTTCAAGAATTGAACATTGATAGTTTTGGAAATCATTGAGGGTTCGTTTGGTTGAAGGATTCAAACCATGTGATTCGAACCATTTTTGATTTACGTGTATTTTTTATGAGAGAAAATACTGTAGCAAACCACGAATCATGATTCGAATCAGAGAACGAATCTCTCTACCAAACGCCCCCTGAGTTTTGGTAGTTCAGAAAGCTCATCATTTATTTCACCGATTCAAGTTTTTAGTTTTATATTTCTACAATAAAAAGTTCTTAAAAAATGTCACATCTAATTTTTTGTATTATAGTTAAAAATTTTCAGAAAATGTCACATCTCAACTCGAATTAAAAATTAAAATCTAATAAGTGAACGAGACATTATTTGTACTATGGACATCGATTCTTGCACTAAGTTGCTTGCCATTTTCATCAACTAAATCAGAATTTCCATCTACTCTCACTCCCTAAATAGATTTAAAATCAATCAATAAATAAATTATATCATCAGATATTTGAAATTTCCAAAGAAAATTTAAAACTAATTGACAGAAGTGAGGAACTATGGAGCCGTAGCATAGAAGTTGGAGGCGGCCCCGTAATAGAAGGAACAGAAGCCATGTCCATTTTTACAGGACTCTGATTTGATGGCAAACTTGAAACTCTGAAAGCAGCACGAGCCCCCAAAAAATTCTCAGACAGTAGATTGCTTTTGGATCATTTCCTGCTAAATCAAGTGAGAAAAGGTTTGAAATTTAGTAAAATTTTTAAATTAAAATATTATAAATATAGCAAAAATGACATAGTAATTAATTATTATGATGATATTGTTAACGGTGAAAAATTGTCAACGGAATAATAATGAATTTCTAAATGGTTTGTGCGAATTTAATTATCTAAAACACAATTAAAAGCAATAAAATAGTAAGAACACACGAAAGTTATAGTGGTTCGTACGAACACATGAGAGTTATAGTAATTTATCTTCACTTTGAGAGTTACGTCCGCTGTGGGGAGGAGATGAAGTTTATTATTTCTGAGATAAATACACGCTCTAATACTCCAAATGAGACTTGGGGATTTTTTGACATACAATCCCTTATTTATATCATTGATCACCTCCCTTGCTTGTTTTCCTATTTAATTCGGGGATATTTCCCTTATCTTTTGGGATATTTTTCCAAAAGGTAGAGACTACAATCCATCTAGACGATTTTCTTATCATATATTCGAATTACAAATAGCAAATCCCTTAGCTAATCTCACGAATCTCTCATATTTTGTAGCCTCGACTTCGTAAACGCTCCCAAAACCATCTTCACCTACGATTATAGGTACGGTCGACCTCATGTCGTCCTCTTTCTTTTCAGAATAGTCGACCTCCTTCGTATGTTGACACCTCTTTCTAGTGATCTACTCCTAAGAGAGTTGTCCGCTGACGTGGCAACTAGGGCTGAATGTCCTTGATCGTTTAATGCTCTTACTTATGATAGTGGGCCCCATGCAATGTTTAATTTAGAGTTTAGCGTTTTACCCTACAACATATATTATATTTTGTACTATATAATGATATAGTCATTATTTAAATGATATAAAATTTTCCTATTCTTGTAATATTTCAAAATTTTTGTTAAATTTAAACTTTGATATCAAAATTTTGTCATATGATATTTGGATTAAAAATGTATACTTGCCTCTTGAATTTTAAGTTAGTTCCACTTAACTCCTTTTATTAGAATTTCTAATAAAAGAGCTCAAGTGTGGTAACGTAAGTTTTTTTATTTGTCTATAACAAAAATTCTAATAAAAAAATTGCATGACTGCATTATCTTTTTTCGGGTATATTTTAATAAAAATTCTAATAAAAAGAGTTAAATAAGATTAGTTTAAAATTTATGAAGTAAAGTGAAAATTTTAAAATCCTTCAGGTAAATTAGGAATGAGTCTCAAGTTGAAAGACACTCCTTAAATTAGCCCTTTTTATTTTTATTTTTATTCTATTCCTCAAATGACTTTGCAAGCTATCGAAAATTCAAAGCAACGACTCTTCATGTTTGAGATTTGGAATTTAGTTACATGTCCAAATATTGAATGCTTTTGAATCGTCACATTTACGTACTAGTTATTATATTATGTTTATAGTAAATATTGAATGCTTTTGAATCGTCACACTTACGTACTAGTTATTATATTATGTTTATAGTTTTCTACGTTGAAACTAGAAAGTAGAAACTAGAAACGCGTATAAGGTGTTATTAATGACATAAGATTTTAGGTGCGTTTATAATTTATTTTAAAATAATTTTGTGTTTTTGTATAAAAATAAAAATGAAAACGTTTTAAATTTTAGATAAAAATTATTTTTAAAAATGCGTTTGGTAATTTTATTAAAATATTATTTTTAATATAAAAAATTTATTAATGTCTTTCTTTGTTCGAAAGAGGAGAAAATAAATTTCACTCTTATTTTATACTAAACTAAAATATTATTTTTATTTTTATTTTTTATTTTTAATTATGTCAAGTTGTTTTAAAATCATTTTTCTTTTTTCTTTTTTAAAAAACATAAAAAATAAAAATAAAAACAATTCTAAAGCATTTATGTTTTTGGATTATTTGTTTTCGTTTTCTTGGTCAATTGGCATTTTGGCCTCTGCATAATAATTAATAGGTCTGCATAATAATTAACAGGATACATATTTGGCGTCTTTTAGCCAGGGCCAAAATATCGTGCCCTCATGAATGGTGATGGAACAGGTGGTTACGCAGTCAACAATTGTTATTTAATTAGAAGTCTAGACGTGTTACATCAAGTATGCATTTTTTCCCTTTTGATTGAAAAAAAAAAATTGAAACAAATATCTCTTAAAAATATATAAATTAAAATTTTTAATTTTTATTTTTAATTAATAATATTTTTAATCAAATAAAAAAATATTAATTAAGAATAAAAAATAATTTATACACTTTTAAAAGTAAATTTTATATTTTTATTTTTTTTAAAAATGGAATGAATATGGGTGTGAAAATTCTCGTAAATTCTGGGTGCGTCCATGAATATTACAGATTTACAGCTACGTCTAATCCACACGTCACTAGCCGCACTTGACATTTAATATAAGCAATTGCTTGTACTAAAATATTACAATACTATTCTTAAAAAAAATATAGGATTATTTTCATAATTCGAGATATGTATCTTATTTTAAAATGTTTCGTAATTTTTTAAAATGATTTAAAATACTTCTTAATATATAGAATATGTGTTAAATTACTCCTTCATCTACTTTCGTCTATAAACAAACAGATGTGTTAATGTAGCGTATCATTCAAAGTTTATAAAGAGTATTTTAACACTTAAGCCCTATTATAATAAAAATTAAATTCATCTTAATATAAAATCACAAAAAAATCAAATAAATTTAAAAAAAAAATCAACCTATGTTCTTCTAAAGCCCTCAAAACCGCTCCTTTCTTAATCTTCCCCAAAAGCTCCTTCTGATCTTTCTTCATCTTCTCCATACTTTTCTTCACATCAAAACCAACCTGAATCAAGATCTCAAACAAAACATGCCTTCAACACCAACCTGAACCAAAATCTTAAACAAAACATGCTTTGGCACGTACTGTTGAGATATGAAAACTCAAGAATAAGGGGACGTTTGGTTCATAAATTCAGAATTATTCTCAATTTACGTGTTTTTTTGTGAGAAAACACTGTAATAAGCAACGAATTATGACACAAATCTTCATACAAAACACCCCAATTGAAATGCTCTTTCACATCACTATTGTTGAAAACCTTTTTGGCCAGAGTAATCTTACCTAATCCGTCCATTCTGACGATGGAGACCACATGAAGCCGATTATCGCGATAAAATTCCCCATCACCCCCATCAATTTCCCCTTCAAAACCCTAACACTCTCCTCCAAGCTAACGACGCCGTCTTCCTCGTCGTGGGGGCCATCTGCTCAGATCAATCCTCCTCGTTGTCCTTTGCTCGATGGCCTCCACAAATGGGATCCGATACACTTGTGTGCTTTGGAAGATCCCCCGATCTTGACATTGATTGACTAGTTTGCACGCAAATAAGGCCGTCAGGCTTGGGTTGCACAGTCGTGGGGATGGTAGGGGCTTTCCTTTTTTTTTTTTTTTTTTATAAATTCGGATTTTTCTCTAGCATAACTTGTTTTCTTATTTTGGAGGTGTTTGAATAAGATTTGATTTGGATAAATTGTTTTTATGGTTTTGAAGGTGTACGAGCTTTTCATATAATTTGGGATTGCCATTTTAGTGAACGTTTGGTTTATGAATTCATAAATATGATTTAGAATCATTTTCAGTTTGTATGTATTTTTTTAGAGAAAACACTATAACAAGTCACAAATCATGATCCGAATCATGACATGAATCTTTACTCCAAACACAGTATTAGTCTTCACAGAGGTCAAGAGGAAGAAGATAATGTTTTCTTTTTTTATTAGTTAATCTATTTTTAATATTTTATATAAATTTAATCAGAATTTAATACTTTTTGTTAACCTCTAATGATGTGCCACCTCTATAGATTAGTTAGAATTATAGACGGAAATAGACATGGGTCAATTTGACCTATTTTTTTATACATTAGGAGTGTTTTGAATTATTTTAAAAAATCAAGAGACATTTTAAAATAAGGTAAATAATTCAATGGGTAATTATGAAAATAATCTAAAAAAATAATATTACTCTACTAAATTAAAAATTTAGGTAACTGTGATTTTTGCTTTTGCCAAACTACCAAATTGAAATAAATTAAGAAAACTTTGTTACGTGTCAACCTTATTATTTTTCTTTTATAATTAACAGTTGATTATATTTTTTATTTTTTCCCTTACTATTAAGGAAGGAAAATTTACACTTAGTACTGTCTAGAAATTAGGTATGAATCTCTATATTCTTACCATAGGTATCTTTTTCAAATAATTAATTTATTTGTGTGTCTCGCACGTTTACTCTTTTTTCCAGAAGTGGTAGCCCACATTTTGTGGTAGACTTCTGCTCACACAATAATGCAAGATGATTATCAAAACTTTAGTATTCAAAACCAAAACATCAAATCATAAAAGGAATCAACATGAAGAGCATCCAAAACAGTGTGGGCTAGTTTAATGAAAGAAATTGCCAACGGAATGATGGACATTTCTAATGTGAAACCAAGTTTAAAGAACGACATGCAATTATCAAAAAAATAAAATAAAATAAAAAACGACATGCAAAGACGAATCGTTTCATTTGGGTCCCTCTTCTTAGAAAGTGGAGTTATTATAATGAAATTGGTACCGCGCCCAACCCCACTTGCCTTGGAATTGGATTCCATTTGACTTTTCGCAGTTCAACAAAACTTTTCCACGTGTTTCTGCCCGTTAGGTATAAGGTTAGCTATTTTGCCACTGGTTTACTTGATCTATGAGCTTTTGAATCGACAAGAAAATATCTGTGCCTTCACTTTATCAGCAAGAATATTATCATAAAAGAAAAAGGAAAAAACTATGAGTAAGAAATTTATGATCTCTACCAATCCGATCAATGATCAATACTGATACTCAATGTGAATGATCAAAAAAATAATATTTATCTCAATAAGGATAAAACTCCACACTTATAAAATGATGAATACTATTAAGTTAAGTCTCATTTTTCTATCTACACTTAACATAACTCACTTTATGTAAATAGCCGTGTTGTGTGCTTGAATGATTAACAATAAGCCGGTTATAGTAGAATTGGAGTAGGTGCATATCTTTTTTTTTTTATTTTTAATGTTTGATTGAACATTGTAATTAAAACTATACTCATAAATATTGGTTAGGGGCGTATTGCACTGTTTTACTAATATTATAGTAACACTCTATTAATCGAAACTAATAACATCAATACCCTTAATTTTTCAATGAAATTACACTAATACTTTTTCGTTAGTTGACCGTCTGTTATTTTTTTTAAAATGATATAAATGCCCCTCTAAGTATCAGAAAATGTTTTTAAACTGTACATAATGTTGCTCTGAAAAACTATATATATTATATAATGCTGAAAGTGTCGGGTTTACCCTAGTTTAATATAAAAAAAAAAAAAAAAAAAAAAAAAAAATGAACAACGCTCCATTCAACACCTAAACCAACAAAACTGATTCAGCTCTGAACAAACACGACACTCAAAACTTGGTTCATAAAATAAATAAAACTGCAAATCTGCTTCCAAGTGCCTAATCTCTGTCATTTAGGGGTCCCGAAGAGCTTAAATGCTGCTGGGGAACTTGAAAACTCTCACCCTAGCACCCATAGATTTAGAAGGCATGTTTGACTTGAACTTGGCACGAACAACACCACTGTTACCGTGAGGCCTTCTAACCTTGGCCCAAATGCAACGACAATGGCTACTACTAAATTTCTTAACAACGACTGTTACTTATTTATGTAACAAAAAACTGTTAAATTTCTTAACAAATGTTTTATTGTTAACTTTTTATAATTCAGAAAAAACAGATGTTATGTTTTAAAGATTAAGAACAATGTATTATATTATAAAGGGTATAATTCAATGAAAATTTTTGTAATTAATCTTACACGCCCTACAAATTGTTTGTAATCTTTTATAATTTTTACATTAAGCAGTATGCATTTCAATACATATATATAGTAAAGCCCGTTATTTTTCTCACAAAAATAATATAGAAATCCCACAAATCGTTTATAGACGATTTGTATTACAATTCTTTTTACGATATTTTTTTCATTTACAGATGATTTGTATTACAATTTTTTTTTAATTTGTTTGGTTTTGGGAAAAGAAAAAAAAAATTGTTAAGAAAAGGGGTAGGTTCAATAATTAGATGGTGGATGAAAATGAGAAACAATACAATTTAACTGTAGGGATTTAAAAAAATAATAATAAGAGGGGTGGAACAAATAATAATTAAAACTTAAAATTTAATAGGTGGGTAGTTTAAGAAAATGTGTGTGAAAAGTAGAATGGAGGTTGATAATAGATCAACTCTAATTACCTTTTTAAGATTAGGTGTGTAATGAGTAACTTTTGATAATGTTGTCCTTAAAAGTTAAAGTAGTTTTATTAATAGATATTTAATGGGAATTTCTCTAGTTAGGAGTAGCAATTCTTGCTACGTGTCGTGTTTTGATTGTTTTTTTTTTTTAATTTACAGTCAATCCGGACATAATCCGTGACACAAATTTTTTTAAAAACCGCAACACGAACAGGACACGACCACTTTACGGGTTGATATGACATGACACAAAAATTACCCGTGACATGAATTGAATTTTTTTTTTTATACAAGGGGAGGAAGAAATACCACCACTTTCAAATGGAGTTTAGGGTGACTCGAACTCTTAATCTATGATTGGGGTGAAGGGCCTTACAATTAACTAGGCTGCCCTCACTCGTCTATTTTTGAATTATTTTTATAAATTGGAATCTTATCTTTATTTTTATAGATTAACAGTTTCATGATTTTTTTTTAAATTATTGAAAATTTTTTAGTAGTTTAAACCACTTATAAGTGATTTAGTTTAATTTGATTTTTTTCAACATTATAATACAACCCAAAATAGATACAGTTATTTTTGGTTTGGTTATGGTTTTTACAAAAAGAAAAAAACAAAAAAACAAAAAAAAAAAACAAAAAGCAAAACAAAAACGCTCCCGAACACCTCTCTGTCTAATTCTACCACACACAGTTTATAATAACATAAAATTAGCCCTCAAACATATTAGAAGTTGTAAGTTTTATGTTTTTGTTAATGAACACTCATGGGTCATGTGACTGCTTTATAAAGGGAAATATAATTAAATTTAGACAAAATAGATAAAAAATAATCGTAAATGCATCATTGTTGTAACCCTAATATCGCCTCTTCCTTTTACTTAAAGCCTCGCTAATCATCGTTTTCATATATCAAACAAATCACGTCATCTAACATGCTTAAAACTATTACAAAATTTTGACATTTTAGTAACAAGGGTACCATAATTGTAACTTCTCGTAAATAGGAGGGTAAGACAACTAAATGCCCCTCGAGGTGCTACCGAGGAACTGGGGGACCTTCTCGAGCAGCAATTGAGCTAGCTTATTCGTTATGGGGAATCCATGCTCCGGGCCGAATAGAGCTTACCTCCGGCACCTGGCTTTATAGGCCGGTTTGGCTTAGCTGCGCTTAATAGGCCGGTTTGGCTTCCTTTTTGGCGGCCACTTTCCTTACCTTACCCGCCATTTTAAATTGTGGGGTGTAGCGAGACATTTTCTGTTGTTCGAGGTTTAAGAGTCTGTTTAATTCATGTATTTAAGTTAGTGATTTGATTTATTGGTGTGAATTTTTATGAGAGAAAAATTTTAAATTTAAACACTATAACAGAATTACAACTATGAGTTCAAATATAGGAACAAAGGGATTTAAATTTTATAGATTTAGCTTCCCTTTGGTTCGCTAATTTGAATTTTGTTACTTGAACTTTTTGATTTGAACAAAAAAATTCAAACTATGTGGTTTAAACTAGTGTGTAATTAAAGTTTTAATTTGAACATGTATTAAAATTTAAATTTGTGTTTGGTAGGTATGAAAAATAAAGAGAGTGAGTATATTTTTATTGTTCAAAATTAGTTTGAACGGTTGAACTTGATGAGAACTAAATTTTAAATTAGACCGTTTAATTCAGTTCAAATAAAAAATTATAATTTAAATTACATATTTATTAAATATCAATTCAAACTGTGATCACTGTTAAATTGAACGTAACCAATAAAATAAATCGGGGTTTAATATTAATCCATTATTTTACAATTAACGATATCAAATTGCCAAAACATCACTAGAAAGCAATTGAAAACTGAAAAGCTTGTAGAAAGAAAATACAGCAAATAGAAAAGTACCTAGTACCTGCCCACGCACTAAATTCTTGAACGTAAGAACCAGCTGACCTTGAAAGAAAGCAAGAAAATGGCGGACATGGATATCGATGACGTTTCTAAAGCCAAAGGTATTCCAAACCCCTCTTAGGCCTTCATATAGCATTAGGCTTTTCAGAGTTGATCAACCAATTAACCATATTTTCTTTTCCAAAATTTCGTTGTAAGGCGAAGAAGAACAGAAGGGGAAAGCTCTTATGGTAATTCTGGTTGGCGCGCCCGGTAGCGGTAAGTCCACTTTCTGCGAGGATTGCATGCGCCTCTCTACCCGATCATGGGTTCGCATTTGCCAGGTCTCTCTCTCTCTCTCTCTCTCTCCGATTGCCTACCACTTGTTTGATGATCTGCTTCACTGAGGCTTTTCCCCCCTTCTTCATAACTAGTTGTATTTTACGCGTGCGTTAGCATTGAACTGGAAAGTTTTTATTTGCTTGAGGAATCTATTCTTTTCTTGGCGTTTGGGCATAATTTATGGTATTTATCTTGTGCACGTTGTTAATTCAATGATTACTGCTTGTAAAGTGTAATTCATTTTAATGGTTTTTTTGCCATCTAGCATCCAGGATAATAAGATAATTATTTGTTCTTAGTTTGTTCTTTTATTTGTCTATTTTATCTTATTGATGATTATAGCGTTTAACTTATTTTAACCGCTTAAACGCGTTTCACTTTTTGTTTGGGCATAGTCTTTTGTCTATGAATACGAAAATTTTATGTGTTTCCATCAACGGCGATCTATATGAAACTTTATGTGTTTCCTTTAAAAAAAAAAAAAAAGGTTGGGACGGCGATCTATATGAAACTTTATGTGTTTCCTTTAAAAAAAAAAAAAAAAAAGGAAGTCTAGTTTATCATCTTTGATTCTGATGATTATAGCTTATAAGTTGTTTTCTTGTACTTGCTTAGTTGAGGAAGAAAACAGATACTCTAAAAGCTGCTGCTTCGATTAGTTGAAATGCTACATTGTTGTTCCCAATGAGCTACATTATCTTGCATTTTGTTTTGCAGGACAACATTGGAAATGGCAAAGCTGGAACGAAATCACAATGTCTAAAGAGTGCAGCCATTGCACTGAATGATGGTAAAAATGTGTTCATTGACAGATGCAACCTAGACAAGGAACAACGTGCTGAATTTGTTAAGCTTGGTGCTTCCAAAGTTGACGTGCATGCTGTGGTGCTTGATCTTCCTGCTCGACTTTGTATATCTCGGTCTATAAAGCGAACTGGCCATGAAGGAAACTTGCAAGGTGGAAAAGCTGCTGCTGTTGTGAACAGAATGCTACAGAATAAAGAATGGCCTAAACTCAGTGAAGGATTTACTAGAATCACTTTCTGCCGAAATGAGAGTGACGTTCAAGGTTCCCTTAATACATACAGTGGACTTGGTCCACTGGATACTCTTCCCCAGGGTGTTTTTGGTGAGAAGAATCCTGATTCTAAAGTTCAACTTGGTATAATGAAATTTTTCAAGAAAGCAGGGCCTGTTGATAATGCTGGACCTCTTGCGAATAGTGTTCAGGGTTCCACTTCTGTGAAAAATTCCAAGGAAACAGATTCTTGCTCCAAAAGACTTGTATCGTACTCAGAAAGTGCTGTTGAGTTGAATGAAAGTAAAGACCCGATGGTAGGCACCGTTAGCGATGCTGCTTCTCTGAGTGATCCTCCTACACTGGCATTTCCATCTATTTCAACCTCAGATTTCCAATTCAACCATGAGAAGGCATCTGAAATTATTGTCGAGAAAGTTGAGGAATTTGTGAACAAAATTGGAAATGCTAGACTTGTCTTGGTAGATTTGTCTCATGGCTCAAAGATTTTGTCTTTGGTTAGGGCAAAAGCTTCTAAAAGAAACATTGACTCCAAAAAGTTCTTTACATTTGTGGGAGATATAACTCGACTTCATTCACAAGGAGGTTTGCATTGCAATGTAATAGCTAATGCTGCCAATTGGTAAGCTGTTGTGGTTTCACATGTTTAAATAGACCATTTTTTTTTCATAATTATGTGTTAATATAGAAGTTGAAATTTAACCGTAAAAGTATATTGTGGAACTGTAATACGTATCTTTAGAATCTCTGGGAGATTCAAATCTAGATATTACTAGTTCCTAGCTCTTATCAAGGGCCTTATTGGTTATGTATATCTTCAGAGGTAACCAGGCGATTCCCAGAGAGATCGCAACCCTCTAGGATTCCTATTTCTATGGTTTACACAATTCAAAAGGCTGTTGTATGGTTCATTACTGTACTGTTGAATTGAGACAACCAAGAATGATAAATAATTCCTGATTAACCTAATTTTGGAAAACTAGAAGCCTTTTATATTCATCCTTGTGTTCTAGGGAATATAATGAAATAAGCTGTTTTAATAACATTATTTGCATGTCAGGAAGATCCAATAAAGATGTTTTAGTGCAGGCGACTAAAACCTGGAGGTGGAGGTGTAAATGCTGCAATCTTCAGTGCTGCAGGCCCAACCCTAGAGGCTGCAACCAAAGAACAAGCTAAATCTCTTCTTCCTGGGAGTTCTGTAGGCGTTCCTCTCCCTTCAAGTTCTCCCTTGTTTCACCAGGAAGGTATAACCCACGTCATACATGTTCTTGGACCAAATATGAACCCGCAGAGACCAAACTGTCTCGACGATGATTATGTTACAGGCTGCAAAATTCTCCATGATGCGTACACGTCACTTTTTGAAGGTTTTGTGTCTATAATAAAGAAGTTGCCTCAAGGAAGCATAAATAATCATGAGTCCAAGACGTCGGAGATACAAGGTCACAATGAGGATGCCCCTAGAAATAGTGAACAAAAAGTAAAGAGAGATGACATTCATGAATCTGATAGGACTGAAAAGTACAAGCGATTTCACTTTGAAACTCGGGACAATATTTCTGATTCTAGCACTCGAAAGATAAGTCCGAGCAATGAAAAATTTGACGTAAGCAAAACTAAAGCCTGGGGATCATGGGCTCAGGCTCTTTGTAACATTGCCAAGCAACCGGAGAAGCACAGTAATGTTGTGCTAGAGATTTCAGATGATATCGTTGTATTAAATGATCTTTATCCAAAGGTTAATTCGACCTTCACGTTTTTCCCATCTCCTATGCTCCTTATGTTTGTGTCGAATTATGATGGTCAATACTTGTGCAGGCACAAAAGCATATTTTGGTGGTGGCACGACATGAAGGTCTTGATTGCCTAGCGGACGTGCGTAAAGAACATCTTAAGTTATTAAGAACAATGCATGCCGTTGGTTTGAATTGGGCTGAGAAGTTTCTAAGTGAAGATGCATCTTTGATTCTCCGTCTTGGCTATCACTCGGTATGCATAACATCTTGCTCGAAAAGTAAATTGTTTTCATTTTAAGCCAAAAAAAGTCTATGTTTTTATCTCTTTTCTTTCTTCTTGTTATTTTTTTATTACTTTCCCTTTTTAAGGTTCTTGGGTCACGATTATTGGGTGGGGCGGGTCTTTAATAGATCTCTAAATTGAATAAGGGAAAACACTAGAAATACTACTCAAGATGGTAAAAAATATTATTTATGCCGCTCCACCCAAAAATAAGCAACTGTCAATTAATAAAGAGAAAACAAAAGGTCCCAATGGCGTACAATTATTTAGAATGGCATAAATAAGGTTGCGTTTAGTATGAGGGTTCAAACCAGAGTAGTTTTGATTTTAAAACTAGAACCATGATTCATGGTTTAAACTTGGGATCCAAACTGTGATTCTGAAACCGGAATCAGAACCAAGGGTTTGAACCATCTAAAACTAAGGGGGGAGGTGGTTTTATTTTTTAGGGTGGTTCTGGTTTAAAACATCACATCAGGGTTCAAACCTTGAACCAAAACCATCAAAAGCAAATGCTGGTTTTCAAGAACCATTTTTTACTTTTTGCAAACCAAAATCATGGTTCCGGTTCTAAAACCCTCATACCAAACGCAACCTAATAGTTCTGCATAAAACCATGACAAACCATGTACTTCTCATTGAAATAAAAAACTGAGAAAATTGTTGAACTTACACTTAGATTGCATGGGTCTAGATTTCAACCTCTTACTTTTGATTAATACCTTATTGACTAATTATAGTTATTTGACTAAAAAGGCTATTAATCAAGTGTAAAGGGTAAAAATCTAGTTCCATGCACTCTAAAGGGTATTTGTCTCATTTTTCCATACCTATACGTTAGAGTAATTGTGGATTCTTAAGCGAGCCCTGGATATTTGGGGGCTAATGTGGGAGTAGATGATTCAAAAACTGAAACTTTTACACACTCTGGGATTTATTTATTATATATATGTATTTTTTTTAAATATATTTTTGTTGCTATAAGATGAAATAGTCGGATTTTTTAATGCTGGTAATACGTGCATGTTTTATATTTGGTTCTAGGCAGATCTAGGATTAGGAAGATAATGAGTAGGCACGAGATAAGGACGCAGGTCATATAGGGCCAACAAGGAATGAGCTGTTGGGAGAGAAATATTAGAGTAGGAAGAGTGAAATTGGAGAGATATATCTATTTCAGTTGATTCATCATTGAAAATCATCTATGTTGAACACAACCAAGCCTATTCGTTGGCAGTCAATCATTCGACTAGGAAACTAAAGCTTTTTAAAATTAAAGTGATGCAAAACAAATAGATTAAATTTTAAATTTAGATTTTATATTTATTTACTAGGATATATATGTATATAATGTATCATTAATATTTAATTTTATACTAGGACCATCTTTATCTCATATGATTGTTTCGGATTCACAAAGATAAGATAAATTCAACATAATGGCATAACTAATAAACAATCATAATTAACAAGAAAATATGGAGTTAAACTCCAAAAGAAACCTTTTAGTATATGGACTAAGTAAAGACCGTTAGAAAAATTGCTTTAGGGTGAAAACCTTCACCAAATACTAGATCGTTCATGGTGTATCATTAAGAATTTATGATCTAAGCGGAAGCATACCTGAATCAGTCATGATGAAAGCAAATCACAAGCCTTGCGGTTAGTCTTCCAAATCTACACGTAGTCCTTTAGAGTTTCCTTTGGATTCTCTCTATTCTCTCTGATGATGGGATGTCAGAAATAGAATGAAAACGTACGTGTGATTTAGGGACCATAACCGTATATAAGTTAACTGCCTATTAACTTTCATTATTTCTAATTTGGCCCATCATAAAAATAGAAATAATGATTTGGTCTCTACACATAAAAGGCCCACACTTAATTAGATGCATTAAAGCCCAAAATACTTAAAACCTTATCAGATCACTTTAAATGGGCTCAACCTAATATGATAGCATCTAACACACAATAATAAACATATAAGCCCACATGGTCAATTAAAACCCAATAATCTCTCACTTGGGCTATATGTGTCACCTTATAATTGTGCATTAAAAATAACCTTATGAGTACTCAGAATTTTGTTATCATTACCGAATGCATCCCCAAACAATCCGGTCCATCAATCATATCAACATAAGATCAAAGCGGCTTTCGTTACATTTATCATAACTAAACCCATCAATGGTCACGTATACTGATATAACTGAACGACATGGATCAAGCATAGATGTGTAGCATGGAAATTACATGCAATGTGATCTAAGCATGCCTATTTTCAACTGGTCCAACCTTATACCTTAGTGAGATTAATTTTAAGCAAGTTCAAAGACAAAATAAACCAAATATTTTATAACTGAAAATAACCAAAATATCCATAAACCATATCCGAAGTTTACCATAACACGTGTTTAAATCTGAAAAGCAACTAAAGTACAAACTCCCACTAAAACTACATATCCTTAAGAGATACAACACCCATATGAGCGGTATGCTCATGAAAGACCTTCGGTGGCAATCCCTTAGTAAGCGGATTCGCAACCATGGAGTTTGTTTCGACGTGCTCTATAGACCTCTGTCCACTCTGAACTCTTTCTTTAACAACTAGGAACTTGATGTCTATATGCTTCGACTTCGTCGAGCTCCTGTTGTTGTTGGAATATAGAACTGCTGACTTATTGTCACAAAATAACTTGAGTGGTCTTGCTATGCCATCCACAATGTGCAGCCCAGTGACAAAGTTCCGCAGCCATATCCCATGGTTGGATGCCTCATAACATGCTATAAACTACGCTGTCATGGTGGAAGAAGCTATGAGTGTCTGTTTAGCACTCTTTCAGGAAATAGCTCCTCCAGTAAGCAGGTAGATATAGCCCGATGTGGATCTCCTACTATCTTGGCATCCGGCGAAATCGGAATCAAAATAACCGATGATCTCCAACTGATCCGATTTCCTGTATGTGAGCATGTAACCTTTTGTTCTCTGTAAATACCGCATGACCCGTTTGGTTGCTTTCTAATTATCCATTTCCGGATTATTTAAATACCTCCCTTGCATCCCAACAATGTACGCAATATCTGGATGTGTACAAACCTGAACATACATTAGACTCCCTACAGCCGAAGCATAAGGAATCTTACGCATTTCTTTAGTATCAAAGTTATTCTTGGGGCATTGACTTAAGCTGAACTTATCTCCCTTAGCTACAAGGGTGTCACCTGGTTTACAATCCTACATGCCAAATCTCTTAAGTACCTTTTCGATATAGCTCTTTTGTGACAATCTAAGAATACCACGAGACTGATCTCGGTGTATCTGAATCCCTAAAACAAAAGAGGCGTCACCAAAATCTTTCATTTTAAATTTTTTTGCTAGAAATCTCTTCGTTTCGTGCAATAAGCCTATATCATTATCGACAAGCAGAATGTCATCGACATATAAAATCAGAAAAATATGCTTACTCCCACTGAACTTGTGATATATACAATCATCCACCGCGTTCATCTCAAAACTGAACAAGATGATAATTTGGTGAAATTTGTAATACCATTGACGAGATGCCTGCTTGAGTCCATAGATGGATTTTTTTAATTTGTAAACCATTTGCGTTGCATCGCCCGGTACAAAGTTTTCTGACTGCACCATATAAATTGTCTCATCAATGTTACCATTGAGAAACGCAGTCTTACCATTCATCTGATGTAACTCAAGGTCAAAATGCGCAACCAAAGCCATTATGGTCCTGAAAGAGTCTTTCGATGAAACCGGAGAGAAAGTCTCTTTATAATCGATGTCTTCTTTCTGTGTGAAGTCCTTAGCGACAAGACGTGCCTTGTATCTCTCCACATCGCCCTTCGAATCCCTCTTGGTCTTAAATATCCATTTGCAACCAATCGGTTTCGCACCTTCAGGTAATGGGACAAGATCCCATACGTCATTGTCCTTCATGGACTTGATCTCTTCATTTATGGCATCGACCACTTTTGAGAGTTAGAACTTTCTATGGCTTGACGGAAGTTGATTGGATAATCTTCCACCATTCCAATGTCAACCTCATGTTCTTAGAGAAATACGATGTAATCGTCTGAAACCGCACTTCTCCTCTCTCTAGTAGATCTCCTTAATGGCATTGGTTCTTGAAGTTGTAGAGTTTGTTCTTCTGGAACAACTTCTTGAACTTGAACGGGAGGTTCAATGACATTGTCTAAATTCGGAGTTGCGTCTTGAACAATGTCAGGTATAGGAGCCTGATCTTGATCATTATCAATAGCAATTGGAGGAATATCAACGTATTCCTCTTCAAAGACAAAGTCCCTAACTCTTTCTCCTCCGGCAAACTCAATATCCTCAAAGAACTGGGCATTTCTCGTCTCAAAAATTGATTTAGTCATGGGATCATAAAACTTGTAATCCCTGGATCTTTCAGAATATCCAATAAAATAGCAACTGATAATCCTTGAGTCCAGTTTCTTTTCATTTGGCGTATAAGGCCTTGTCTCAGCTGGACATCCCCAAATGTGTAAGTACTTCAAACTACGCTTTTTACCTGTCCAGAGCTCATAAGGGGTTTTAACAGTCGCTTTATTTGGAACTTTGTTGAGTATATATGTTGTGGTCTTAAATGCTTCTCCCCATAGTGATTCTGGCAAGGTAGAATGACTAATCATACTCCTCACCTTATCTTTAAGCGTTCTGTTTCGCCTTTCAGCAACACCATTCATGTTAGGTAAACCCGACATAGTGTATTGTGGGACGATACCGCATTCCTCTAGGAATTTAGCAAAGGGTCATAGACGTTGTTCACCAGATCCGTCATATCTGCCGTAGTACTCACCACCACGGTCAGATATGACACTTTTAATCCTTTTGCTTAGTTGGTTCTCAACTTCAGCTTTATAGTTCTTGAACACATCCAATGACTGATTTCTCATGGATGAGATAAAGGTAGCGATATCGTGAAAAATCGTCTATGAACATTATAAAATATTATTGACCATTCTAAGAAGCCGTAGGGAATGGTCCACAAATATCTGTGTATAAGTTCTAAGACGTCTAAAGTCATGTTGGCACCTAATCTCCTGATGTTTGTTTGTTTCCCCTTTATGCAATTAATGCACACATCAAAATCTGTAAAGTCAAGGGGATCGAGAATCCCATCGGACACAAGTCTCTCAATTCTCCTTTTAGAGATGTGACCTAATCTCTTGTGCCACAACGAGGCAGAATTCTCAATGGTTAATTTACGCTTTACACCTCGTGTATTTACACGCAAGGATTCACTAAAAGAGGCAACTGTATCAAGCAAATATAGATTATCGTAACTTGATAAAGAACCGGTACCAACCAATTTTGAATCTTGAAAAAGACTAAATATCCCATTTCCAAATTAACAACAATATCTAAACTTGTCCAAAGCAGAAATAGAAATCAAATTCCGTCTAAATGACGGTACAACAAAAGTCTCATTCAAATCCAAATAAAAATAAGTTCTTAACAATAATCTAAAAGTTCCTATTGCCTCGACTTCCACCGACTTGTCGTCGCCAACATAGATGTATCTTTCACCATCACTTGGTTTTCGGCAACTCAGGCAACCCTGCATAGACAGACTGATGTGAGTTGTTGCACCAGAATCTATCCACCACGTGTGTCTAGATACCGAAGTCAAATTAACCTCAGAACAAACCAAATTAAGAAGCATACCTTTCTTTGCACACCAAGACTGATAGTTGGTGGCTAAGGGTGCACTTTATGCCTTCTCATACTTCAGCCTTTCATCTTCTTGGACACAGTGTGAGATGAGCTCATTAAGGGACCAAGAGTCCTTTTGACAATTATAGCTCACCTTGAATTGACTGAACTGTGCCGGAAGAGAAATCAGAACCAAGTGCACTAACAAGTCTTCAGATAATTCCAACTTGAGTGCCTTCAGTTTTGAAGCAATGTGAGACATTTCTATAATGTACTCCCTGATGTTTCCTTTCCCTTTGTACCTCATTGAGATAAGGTTTGCCAAAAGTGTACTTGTTTCAGCATTTTCATTCTTGGCAAACCTTTTCTCTAGATCCTCAAGGAAACCCTTAGCCATAGTAACCTTATCAGACATAGTGCCCCGAAAAGCTTCTGGAATAGCACGCTTCATAACCATCAGACTTATACGGTTCGATCGTTTCCACTTTTTCATCTCCCGCTTATCATCAGAGGTACTCTTATCAGTGAGTGCAGCTGGTTGATCGACCCGTAAAGCAAGGTCTAGGTCCATGTCTCCGAGAACGATCAAGACGTTTTCTTGCCATGCCTTAAAATTGGTGTCATTAAGCATAGGAATAGAATTTATGCTAGCAGAGATATTTGCAGCAGAACTAGAAACTGAATAGAGAACAAAACAAACAAAACAAAACAAAACTCACATAAATACCATATTATGCAAATAATAAATTCAAATAATGGTAGGGCCCATCACAAGATACCGAGCACAACATCAATATTTAGTCTTTGGACATAAATATTAACTTGTAAGTGGTATTCTTGGTGTAGTAATCAAACACTGATAATAATAACATGTCGAACAAAAATCTTCCTTTGGACCGATTTATTGTTCACATGTAAACCGAATAATCATCACATGCTTATCACCACAGGTTCGTGTGTAATTCGGCCAAATATTGACCTTCTTTTAGGACGGCCAATATCTGCTTGAATTATACACACACATCCGTTTAATATTTTAAATTAAATTAATTTCTACAAGAGAGATTGCTTTAACAACATGTTACTTCCATTAATTCATTTTACAATATTATACACCTTAAAAATAACATCAAAATTTGAATTTAAATTACACCGAAATTGACAAAAAAAAAAGACATTTTCTCAATATATATATAGCCGTAGGTTACACCTGTGGCTTTCTTTTCCTTACACACAGGCTCAATTGAGCCCTCGAGTGCAGCCCGCAGGCTGCTTTAAGTTTCCATTTTTTTTTTGTCAGGGGCCCAGATGGGCCCTTGTTCTTTAATGTCTAATGGCTCTGGGCTCAACAAATCCTAAGGGTTGCAATAGTTGCGACCCTTGAAAAATCTTAGGCGGCTAGCGGCTGCATTTCTCCTTATGTCGCGGACTGAGAGCCGCGGTTCTCCCTTGCCGGTGCAGCCTGGCGGCTGCAGCAAGGGCAGCCCATATTCCTTCTAACGAGATTCAACTGAATTATATATATCTATATATACATATATGTAAAAATATCCTAAATTCAACCAAAACTGAATAACCAAAATTCAATTACGTGTCTATATATATATATATATATCTAAACTTGAATCCGTAAAACTATAATTAAATCGAAAAATTTCAATTCTCAATGATTTAACATGAATAGGCTCTGATACCACTTGTTAGAAAAATTGCTTTAGGGTGAAAACCTTCACCAAATACTGGATCGTTCATGTTGGAAGCAATCACAAGCCTTGCGGTTAGTCTTTCAAATCTACACGTAGCCCTTTAGAGTTTCCTTTGGATTCGCTCTATTCTCTTTGATGATAGGATGTCAAAAATAGAATGAAAACGTACGTGTGATTTGAGGACCATAACCGTATATAAGTTAACTGCCTATTAACTTTCATTTTTTCTAATTTGGCCCATCATAAAAATAGAAATAATGATTTGGTCTCTACACATAAAAGACCCACACTTAATTAGATGCATTAAAGCCCAAAATATTAAAAACCTTATCAGATCACTTTAAATGGGCTCAACCTTATATGATAGCCTCTAACACACAATAATAAACATATAAGCCCACATGGTCAATGAAAATATGGAGTTAAACTCCAAAAGAAACCTTTTAGTATATGGACTAAGTAAAGACAACTGTCAGATTAAAAAAAAGGGAGAAAACTCTAAAAAAAAATTGGTCAACTTATAGACCTCAAGCCTCTGTAATGTAGATGATTATCTTGCGGTTTTCCTGGGACCAACTTGAGCCTTAAAACCAGCTTCTATTGCATGAACTGGTCGTTCGGAGCCACATTCCTCGCATCTAAGTAACCAGAAACCATTCTCCTTTAAAAGTGTTGTCTCTGGACTTTTGCATACAAGACAAATTACGTACTCAGTGCAATAGTGCCGCAACTGTTCTTCGATCGTCGTGGGGGAAAATCTAGCGTTCATGACTAATCTTTGCTGCCCATTGAGTGATCCCTTCGTCCCTAGTTCAGCCAGCAAGAAATCCTTAAGATGATGTGGCTGCCTGTTCAGCCTCCTGCAGTGATCCATGAAGCTAACCAATACAGTTGTTTTTTTGCTCCCTCACGAAGAACTTGTGGACGACTCAGAATCATCCTATGCCTGTCTCCCATAGTCTCTTGACTGAGTGCGAAACACTCTACCAAGAAGCTCTTCATATGTGTAGTCAGGTTCAGGACATGAAGGCATAGATATCACTCCTCCTTTGTCCTCTTCCCTCAGATTTTCCGGTTCTCGCCCAACATTGAGGGCAGTTTGTGCAGAGTCGTCTGCAGGGTCGATCACAACTGTTTTCTTTTTCTTCTTTTTCTTGGTCGGATCGAATGGCTTAATATCTGCCACTGCCTTCTGTAAGTTGTTTTTGTCTGCCATGATTGCTCTTGGAGAGAACGTGAGGCCTTGAGATGAGACTAGTTGATGGGATAATTGAAGAATTGGGGATAGAAGGAGAGAATCTAGTGAGACAATTTTTATCGCTTGTTTAATTTATTAATCAAGATTATGTACGTTTATATAATCAAGCCTAGATGGGCAATCCTAATTCTGCTAGTACTAGGAAACCACGGAAACCTAATCAAAATAGACTTTATAAGAAAATGCCAAACTTAATAAATAAATAAATAATTTTAAATTGTAAAATAATTTAATTCCATGATTATCTACATCACATTCAGCAAGGGGAGTTATAAACGGAAAATTATTATAATTGCTATTTTGGAAATTTAATTGCCCTTTTTTTGTGTTTGACTTTTTATATGTATGCAAAAAAAAAAAAGAAAAGAAGAAGATACTGCCACACTTAGAAAAATAAATAAATAATTAAATCATAAAATAATCTAATTTCACGGCTATGTACATTATTTTCTGCATGTGGATTTAAACGGAGAATTATCCTGGATAATTTAGTTGCCTTGTTTTGTGTTGGACTTTCCATGTGTATGCACATCTCCCGTTCCATTCTACTGTCCCAAGTCCGAGTCGACGGATAGAGTTTTCCACTCCACATGTTTTATGGTCTTTGGATTGGAAACCGAAACCTTAATTAATGAGGAACAAGAAAAAGAATAGAAAGTAGTATGAAGTTATATTACCTAATGTTTCGTTAGAGTTTAATAAGTTTTCCAAAGCTAGTTAAGTTTCCTATTTAATTAGGTAATTGTCAGGTAAATTTGGATTTCCTTATCAGCCCTTTGGACATCTTTAATGCAGGCCCCATCAATGCGGCAACTTCACCTACATGTGATCAGCCAAGATTTCAATTCCAAACATCTGAAGAATAAGAAACACTGGAACTCATTCAACACTGCTTTCTTTCGAGATTCCGTTGATGTAATGGAGGAAGTCAATAGTTGCGGAAAAGCGAGATTACAAGACGATGACAAGCTGTTGTCAATGGAGTTACGTTGCCACCGATGTAGAAGCGCTCACCCCAACATTCCCCGCTTAAAGTTGCACATCACAAACTGTCAAGCTCCATTTTCAGCCCACCTCCTTGAGAATGGTCGTCTAGTGAGTACTCCATGCAATACTGATGTTGATTCGTAAAGAAAGATCATAGAAAAAAGCTTCCTTCTGAGCAAAAGCTTTTGCAAATTGCCAAATTCTCATTGTGCTCTGGCAACATTTTTGTGCAGCATATATGGTTAGAGGTTCTAGTTTTATATGTTTTGGGGTTTTGTGTTTCTGTAAGGTGATGTTGATCTGCTATTTGTTCGTATCGGTAGGCAATGACCATCGACCCCACAAATCTTGATGCTTTAAACAAGCTTTTTTTAGGCCACAAGCTACTGACTGAGAACAAAGCTGAAAATTGAGAGAAAAAAAGGGGACACAGATAAAATATATGGCTGGAAGCAGTTGTTTATATTTTGATGATTTACCGAGAAAATTGTGGGGGACCTATTTGAGAGAAGCACGAGAAGTAGTTCCCTTAAACCCATGAACTAAACAGACTCATAGTATTCCAATTTAAGATCCATGGTCGATGAGGACTGACAAGTGTACAGATGACTCAAACTGACAACCCGAAGAAAATTTTTACAATGTTTTTTATTAGTTAGTTTGTCCCCTTGAAAGTTTTTAATCACGATATTTTTTAGTCTTTTAAAATTTTTGATTATATCTTAAATTTGATACACATATATATAGTATTGATAATCTCAAATTGCATTATTTTTCTAGTATTTTTTAAACATTTTCAATTATATCACAAGTTTTAACTTTTTAAATATGTCGATTTTTTTAAATTTAAATCCTCAACAAATCGAGTTTAGGGTTCCGTTTTTTTATCTATTTAAATTTTATTATAGTAAAAAATTATTAAAAATAATCATATATAATTTTTTTATTATAATAAAATTTTTTTATATAAAATTACATCTAAATTTAAATTAAAAATTTAAATTAATAAATTAAACGGATAGCTGTCGTCCTGAACGGCTGTCCTCTTAACCGTCTTAATAATAATATTTTGGCACCTTATAATAACTTCCCACATCTAACTCTTTTTTTTATTTTATTACCTCACACGGCGTTAGAAAAAGAAATAAAAAGGACGGAGAAAGGTCTGTCTGCCGAAACCTCTTCCTTCGTCTGATATTAGGAGAAAGAGTAAAAAGCAAAGCTTTCAAGGTATCTTTACAAAAGTTTTGTCTTCTCAATAAAAAGCTCTGCAAGGTATTTTTTATTAATTATCTTTAATTCAAGAATTGTCCTGTCACTCATATTTTTTTGTCCATTTCTTTATTTTTTCTGCTGCAAATTTCTTTATTGTATATTGTTCGGAGGTATCACTTTCCTACTACAATGAAGTACGTTTCCTATATATAAATATAATTCTACTTTTGTCCTTTCTTACTCTTTTAAAAGATTAGCTTTACATCAGATTTTTTGACCCCGTTCACTTCACCAATTCGAATTTAGAATTCGAGTTTTGCTACAGTAAAAAACTCTCACAAACAATCACATCTAACTTTTTTGCTACAGTAAAAAGCTCTCACATAAAATCACATCTCAACTCGAATTACAAACTCGAATCAGCGTAGTGAACGGACCCTATTCTCTTTTTGTTCTCACTTTGATGATAATCAAATATTAAGGGCCCGTTTAGTTCGCTGATTTGAGTTTTTAATTTGAGTTTAGATGTGATTTTATGTGAGAGTTTTTTACTATAGCAAAAAAGTTAGATATGATTATTTGTGAGAGTTTTTTACTGTAGCAAAACTCGAATTCTAAACTCGAATTAGCGAAATGAACGGGGCCAAGTGCTCTGCATGCGGCTCACGCCATTCAAGGTGGCTGTGAAGCGAGGCTAGCTCCATACTCATGATTTAAGGCGGGCAGGGACTGGGGGAAGAAAGACTTGATGATAGTGACGATATTAATGATAGTGATGATATCGACCGTGACCTTAATACGGAGTTAATGAAACTAAAAAAATTTAAATTCAAATTATAATTTTATTTAAGTTTATATTCTTTTATAAAATTTAATTTTAAACTCGAGTTTAAACTCAAGTTTATGACTAAATTTGAGTTAGTTTCTCCTTTAACTCGAATTCATAAGCTCAAATTCAAGTTAATGAACAATATTTTTTTTATTCTTAAAAATATCATAACTTTTTCGTTTTAAGTCTGATTGAGATGATTTTTTATGCATTCACAACGAAAAGACTAATAAAACCTCATCCATATATCATATTAAAATTTGTTATCACCATTAAATTTTTATTAAAATACTATCTAAATACAAATTTAAGTGTTGACCCACCCAGACACAAACTCAAAAAGATTCTAAATTCAAATCATAACTCAAATGTGCACATCTAAACACAAACTCAAGTTAGAACTTTAACTCAAATTATAAAAGGCATTTATAAAAATAACTCAATAAAAAAGTTTTATTAATAAAATAATTTTTTTTAAAATTTTTATTTGTAAAATGACTTTCTTTTTCCGACACCATTTCTGCATTCATTTGTAGCCATACAATACAATCAAATCGCCGCTCGTCTCCATTAACAGCCTATGAGCACAGGCAATTCCTTATCCAGTGAAACTCTTTTTCTCTTTTTTTCCTCTTACGAATGAGGTTTACATTTATACGAGATTTACGTACAATTTTATTTAAAGGAGGTAAACAGAAATTAAAATGAAAATTGAAATCTTGGTGTTTGATTTTGCAGGAGTGGAGACGCCATTGATTCCGGCGGTGAACTTTCACTTCCGGCGGTGAACTTTCACTTTCTCTGGAAATAAATAAAATTAAAATTAAAAAGTCATTTTTCTAATTTTATTTTTTCACTTGGTTATTTTAACCAAATTCTTCAAATTATAACTCACATTTAATTTAAAATTATCACTCAAGTCTTCCTAACACAAAAATACAAATGAACAACCCTTGAGTACTATCAATAAATAAAAATAAAAATAAAAGTATTGGGAAAGAAGTCGTACATCAAACGTCTCCAAAGACGTCCCCATCCTTTTTATTTCCGTTTTTAAGAGTGTGTTTAGTTCATAGATTCATGTCATAGTTTGAATTATGGTTCGTGACTCGTTACAGTATTTTTTTCATAAAAATTACACATAAATTGAGAATAATTTTAAATCATGATTTTAAATCTATCAACCAAACGTCCTTTAAATTCTAACGCCGTGTGATGTAAGAAAATAAGAAAAAAGCTGATGTGGTAAGCTATAATGAGCTATTAAAATATTATTTGGGAGCGGTTAAGGGAGATGACATCTGTGACAGTAGATTTGGACTCAAACAAGCTAAAGATTACCATACAATTAAAAAAAAAAATTAATTTTTGGGAGTTTAGACTTTAAAATGTGAATTGAACTTATTAAAATTTATTCAAAATTTTTATTTCATTCGTAGCCCCTACAAAAATCCTTGCCTCCGCCACTAAAGGCAATCGCATCATTGGATGGATTTTTTTTAAAAAAAAAATTAGGATAATCATTACGTTTTCTTAAAATTTATTATGAGTTTTCTCTAGAGAAATATTATGAGTTATTTTTCAAGATCAAGGGATTATCAAAATTTTGAATTTATTGACATTATTAATGAAAACTGCTCCTTTTATTAAAATAGATCAATTTAAACAACTTAAACAAAGGGACAATATAAAGGGATCAGTATTGATTTCACATTCAATTCAAGAAAAATATTTTTAATTAATTATTTATTATTGTCTTGTTGAGGAATTATAAGTTAAGTCAGGATCTTATCGTATATAAGAATCTTTTTATAACGTTTGTTTTGGGAGTTTCCCAATAGTAACGTTCTTTCACAGTTGTTTACACAAAATATTGTGAGTAAGTAAATGAGGTTCCGATCATATACTGTTCCGCTATATCACAAAGTAAACATATTTTGCACTTGTAGTCGGCAGATGGTAAAATACTGACGTATAGGGCATTGAAATAACTATTATTAGGATGGTGTCTACAAATCATATCCCTATCTATATTATAGAATAAAGTTTTGTTGTAAAATTATTTGTTTAGTTCGCTTATTCGAGTTTTTAATTAGAGTTGAGATGTAATTTTATGTGAAAATTTTTTACTGTAATAAAAAAGTTAGATGTGACTGTTTCTTAGAACTTTTTATTGTAATAAAACTCGAATCGGTAAAATAAACTAGACCTATATTAACAATTCATATAATAATATTAGGAGTAAAATCTGCATGTCTCTATTACCACCGTACACATGTACAACATTTTACGAGGAATGTCAACTGGAGAAATCAACCGACTAGGGCCGACTTAAGAAATTATGAGGCCTTAGGCGAAATTTTTTGTTAAGGATTTTTTTTTAAAAAAAAAAAATTTCTCAATCTCATCTTTGACATAAAATATAGATTTCAGCCTTATTGTTATCCAATAATTACGTAACACCTAATTTTGTTTTTTCACAATAGAACATTCCATTTGTAAGATTTTTTTTGTTTAAGTAAAACTTTTTTGCTTGTGGACCAAATTTTCCAGTACGGACATTGAAAAGAGAAAAACTTGTAGTAGTTAGAGGTGAGAAAAAAAGCATTATATGACATGTGAGCAATTAGTCAACAATTAAGGCCTTGTTCATTTTATCAATTTAAATTTTCAGTTTTAGGTTTTTACAGTTAAAAGCTTTCAAAAAATATCACATTTAAATTTTTCTGCTACAGTTAAAAGCTCTCAAAAAATGTCACATCTCAACTCGAATTGAAAACTCGAATCTACGAAGTGAATGAGGCTTATATTTCTGCAACAACTCTGCATATATACATTCAAAAGCTATCTACGTTATCATTCCATATACATTCAAAAGCTGGGCAGTTGGATACAACGTTTTTCATATTTAGACAATGCCGAATAAGGAAATGGTTTAACGTTTTCCATTTCAAATAAGTTGCCCCGTTTTTAACGAATGATGCAACCTGCGTTCGTCTACGTTGTTGTATTAACTGTCGGAATACCATGGCTTAATATTTTGTAATCCTTGTTCATTACATATTCTATTAATAATAAGAAACGAAATAATCCACGGTGACATAGATTAACTTAACACATAAATATTGGCGTAATACGACAAAGCACAACATAATAAGAAACTGGAAATCCTCAAAAGCTAGATGAGTTAATGACAAATCAACAGTTGCAACATCTTA